GAACCATTAAGGCTGTGCATCTATTTAAAATTTGTATTAATTATTATAAAAATTATTATCAATATAAAAATCTTAATCAATAAATTTTATTATATGACCATATATAGTTTTGATTTACATAGCATATCGAACACCCCAATTTCTTATGCGCCTTGATCGATTCTTGATGGATCATGGTTACACGCATTAAACTATTCTACTATAAAACCCGAATCAGGCTATTCGATAATGCCATAGATCTCGTTGCATGAATCCCGTTACCAATTTTTTGCTGTAGAACCGATTTTGACCGTAAAAATTAGTCACATTAGTAGTTACATGTTTTTAATTATTTTTATTAATTAACTGTATATATATATAATGACAATACAACATTAATTCTTTATGCCAATTACTAAATATTGTGCGCTATCGACCTTATTAAAATAACTGTCTATGAAACGAATTTAGCTGTGAAATTAATCGGCTGTGAAATTAATCGACTGTGAAATAACCTTAATTCTCAGCGAAGTTGTTTTTGAAGTAATTATTGGCGAGTTGATGCTATTAAATAAATAAAAATAATGTTACGTATTACATATCTCAGAGTAACACGAATACCAAATCCGGTATATTTATACACAGTACATCATAAATTTTAACGCCCAATCAAATGCAAGCTCGCCATTCTAGATGGCAGTAAACTATATACCCCGCATGCTGGTATGTCATATAAAATCAGTCGATTCTAGTAAATTTTTTTGATTCTTAAAGAATTTAAAGATTTCGAATAAAACATAGACGTTATTGATATGATTAAATTTGAGGAATTTTTCTGCAATCATCATCTCGAAATCACCTTTCCCAAACCGCCATACTTCACGATAGTTTATTGCAGTTTGCAAGATTATGTGATATTTGCAGACTAAAAAAAAAATCGATGATTTCCGACATTACTTCCATGACATATGTATATCAACTAAAATTATATAAATGCACACTCAAGTTTGAGCCCAAACATATATATACTCTATAAATGCACTTTTTCATATTGTTCTTTAATTACACGTTCTTAAAGTTTGGTCCCAAGTGTGTGCACTATATAGGTTTTACTGTATTAGTATACATTTTTTTAAAAAAAATCTTTCTAATGGCCAAAATTATCCAATAAAAAATTTTTATTAAAGTTCCTTATGTTTTTATTTTGAAATTTCATGATTCTTTCAGTAATAAGCAAATTAATTTTTTAGAATCATGTAATAATTCTTATAAATTTGAATTTGGTGCAACTTTTAAACTTTCTTTTCTATCGAGCTAAAAAGAAACAAAATTTAATATATACAATTAAATTCTTTAAAACATGCAAATTACTGTATATTCCTACAAAAAGATACTAAATCAAATATGTTACAAAATAATAAAATATTTAAGAAATCAGAAGTCATCAAATTTCTTCTTTTTTTTTGATCTGCAATTTTCACAATTTTGCACAATGTAATAATTTCTCATATTGATCATTTGGTAATTATGGCGGTTTGCAAAAGGTGTGAACTCAAATAGTGACCTCCCACAAAATTTTCACATTCCACTGTACTCTGATTAGTTTTACTACTTTTAAAGAATTTTTACAATTCGATGATACTTTTTTTTTCACCGTCATGGAAGAAAAAAAATTTATTATTATTCTAATATTTACTTAGTTACAAAGCATCATCGAAATTATTATAAATTCTTTCGATAATATAATAACATTAATCGTAGTACAGCAGATTCGGAAATTTTTGGTCTCTGTACGTACGTACGAGCTAAAGGTGTGACCTCTGCAGATCATGATGTTATGTAAAATCACGAGAATTCAGGAAATTTACAAACTCCTACAGGGAGATCGCAAAATTCCGGGTCGAGAGCTTCGGAACTCTGGTCGGAAGGGCAGGACAGAGTTGATCAATTTTACTCTAAGATCACTAAGAATTTAACTAATGAAACAGTAGTCGTTCATTAAGTGAAAAGTGCCCAGCTGATAATTTTACTATAGCCTATAGCTCCCGCTAACCCTAACCCAACCCTAACCCCGACCTTAACCACGACGCATTCCGGCCATTACGACCCGGAAATTTGGGGATCCCCTGTAGAAAATAAATATACAGGGCGCAGGATCGATTTTCCGGTCACGTGATTTCCGATGACAATAGTCTTCAAACAAAAAAATTAGGTTATATTTTTATTTAGGTATTATTTATAATTAGAAAGAGTTATTGTATAGTAAAATTGCATGAGAAAATTCTTTTGTTAGATTCAGAAGTTCGATTTACTAGCCTAAATTTTGGGATAAATGTGATTTTTGCAAGCGAACGTTTGTTTTGAATTTCTTTACGTTACACCTGATCCTGATTTTGATTGTTAATTGACATCGCCCTGTCGTTGCTAAAAATTAGCTGATTACAGTAGATTTTTTAATTCTTAGCGTTAGAGAATTTTAAAGATTTTGAATAAAATATAAACATTATTGATTATAACGTATTGCAAAAAGATGTGACCCTGATTTTGTGATGATAATCGAGAAAAATTTCCGAGATTCTAATTGTCTATTAATCCATATTTTCGAACAGCTAAGTTTATATTCGAAATTGGAAAGATTCTTAAAATCTATAGAATCTCAGATATTGACAGGACCCCTGAATACTAGTATTTTATATATATAAACCTTCGTCTTCAAAACTTATATAAGTGTACAAATAAATTTTATTATTTAAGTGTACAATTTCTTAAAGCTATATATTTAATGTACGACAGAAGTTTAATATAAGTTTTCTATACTTTAATAAGTGTACAGATAAAAGTAAAGCTAATATTAAACTCATATATGACAAAGATTTAAATATTTAAGTTTACTTTTCGGAATTCTTCGGATGTTTTCTCGAAAATTTTAGCTCAACCTTGCTCGTAATTTACGCTCATTCATTTTTCTATTCAGAAGTTTTCGGAATATATATATTCTTATATATACTGTACGATATACCAATTCAACATAATTAGTAAGTGTACATCAATCTTTTTTTAATATTATTAATTATGTGTACGTTAAAGGTCAAGTAAATTTGCTATCAAAAAGCTCATTTTTGTACACATATGGACAAACGTCTTGAAAAATTTAGTTTAAGTGTACGACGAAGGCTTTATGCGTATATTCAGGGGTTCTATATTGACACGACATTGTGATATGCAGAGGTCACGCCTTTTTGCAAAGTGTAATAAAAATCATGACCAATAGGAATTTAAAATCTCGGAAATTTTTCCGCTATCATCATCACGAAATCACAAGGTCACGCCTTTTTGCAAATCGCCACAATTAACGATTTCTTAATGCCGTTGTGATATCTGACTCCTTATTTACTGAGCATTTAATATGCTTTACAATAATTAGATATTGTTATTTATTTAGGTCGGTCACTTGTGATTTATTTAATCAATGATTCTTCATACCCCCTAGATGTGTATAAGTCAATTTATGTCTAAAAATCTTTAAGATTTAAAAATTCATCAGACATGTAAATATCCAAAAGAATATATCAAGTTATAGTTATTTAGAAATTGGAGCTGATTTAAAATTGGATGAATTAAAATTGTAATACTGGGCAAAACAAATATATTTTAAAATTGTTAATTGCTAAAAATGTTATTTTATGCATAATAAATATTATTAAATTTGGGTTAATTGTTAAAAAAAAAATTTAAATTGATATTGATTGGCTTATTAGTATTAGAAATTTGAATAATTTTTAATTATTCTTCATGAATAATAATCGATGATATTTATTGACTATTAAAGTAGATTAGATTTGTTAGCCGTATATCGACAGATTTACGTCATCTGATAGAAGAATTGTATCGTTTATAATTTCGGTCAAATTAGGTGTTGTAAAATTTTTTTGTTAAATTTTTCCACGTGTATATTTTTCTTGTGTTTCGTTAATAAGTGGCTGTGTATGGGTTGGGAGATCTTGGCATGAGACCACAGATCTTGGTCTGAGACCACCGATAAGGGTCTGAGACCTCAGATCTTGGTCTGAGACCACCGATAAGGGTCTGAGACCTCAGATCTTGGTCCAAGACCACTAGAATTTGAAAGTATAAATACAACGCTTATATTAATAAAGAACATTATTATATAAGATTCTTTTGCTCCGACTAAATGACTAACAAATGAATACATTCCTTAATAACCCATTACCGAATCCGTTATAAACATCCATTCTGTATAACCTATGTTTGTAACGCTGAGCTAATTTGACCTCATGTTAGCTAAGTCTCCCACGGTTGCAACATTGGCCATATATAGCATATTGGCGGAACTTTTGATTTGGTGATTATTAAAAGTTAGATAATCAATCATTCGCATGATATTGCATAATCGGCGATAAAATTGAATTGCACAGTTGTATTTGATTGGTTAATTGCCTTTCTTGGATATATTAAACTTTATGAAGCCGCTTATATAACCACATAATATTTATAAATTATGAGGGTACTTGATTGGTCAATTGCTTTAAATTGCTTATGAAATCGTTCGTAAAATCGCATAATATTATGAATCATTACATATTCCAAAAGCGACTAGTAATTAATTTAATCGCTATAATACAAGGTACGTACGTAAGTATGTACGTTCGTATGTGCGTACTTACTTAATTTACTACAGTAAGTTAGACCCGACTTTAAACGACAGACTATAATGTGTGTTACAAATCAAAAACCCGGCACTTAAAAAATTGTAATTTTATTCGGAAAATAATAAATTTAATATCCGATGCCAGTATTTTACAGTAATATAGAGATTATTTAATATATAATAAATATAGATATCTTTGACTATATCATTTAATTTTAATAATTGCAAACTTTCCATCAAAAAATTTTCGCCAATATAGACAAACCAATTTTAAATCTAGTCAGATGATTTGCAATTTAATCAGAATTATGGACAATGCGTTTCTTTTATTAATTGGGTAATGAGACTAAATATCAAAACCTTATTTGTAATTTCCTAAAACGCCAAACGCTTACCTAATGTTTTTGATTGGAAGATTGAAAGTATGAGTTTTCCGATAAACTCTAATTACAATAACTTCCAAGCATTAACAAATATACTGTAAAATAAATACCTTTGTTTTATATTATACAATAACCTTTTTTTCAATTAAATCACGTATAATTTTTATATTTATTTGTAATACAGCAATAATTATTAATTTTGGTAGTAATAAAATAGTAACCATTTTTAATTAATAAATAATTCTAATTATTAATTATAAATATATTTTTTTTTCGTTATTTAAGTTGCAAATAAGATTAAAGTGTGAATAGTATTGAGATTTTCTAAACATTTTTTTGGGAAAATTAAATGCTGGTCATATATTTCCTCATATATAATGCGGTAATAAATTATTAAAAAAAAAAAGATATACAAAAAATAAAGATTTATAAAACAGATGTTCAGATTTAGGCACTTTTTGCCTATTATGTATATATGTCTACGTACGGATTTCTTTAAGTGCGATATCTAGTAAAAATCAGTATGTCATATCTTATGCATAGTATGGTACGCCAACCATTCAAAAATTAATTCATAAATTGTATGTTTATATTTTTTTAGGTAGCAAGTAGATCATTCGCAAATCACTAATTTTTATTAGCTAAGAATAAAAGAAATCGACATACGTTTATGCAGAAATAGTGAATCTTGTATTTCATCACAATACAATGTACTAGCTATTTTTGTTTTAAAAAAAAAATAAATAAATAGCGTTATTTTAGATACTACCAAAATCAGGTACGTACAGTCTATTCAAAATTAGGCAATAATTATACACCACAGAAAATATCGGTATATTTATTAGTTCATGAATTATGCAGTGTAAGTGGAAACTGCTTTTTTATAATTTTAAATTATTTCCGTATGAAATATCCCTGTATGAAATTTTTAAAACGATGTCCGTATGAAATGCCCCTTTATGAGATTTTTAAAATGATTTTCGTTTGAGATTTTTTGGTTGAGATTTTTAAAATGATTTTCGTATGAAATATCCTTTGAGATCTCTAAATGATTTTCGTATGAAATATCCTTTCGAGATTTCTAAAATGATTTTCGTATGAAAAGGCCCTTTATAAGATTTTTGATGCTCGTATGAAATGTTCCTTTATGAGATTTGATTGGTCGTCTTGCCGTAAGTGTGTATGAGACTAATGATCTCATGATTTTACAAGAGGATCCCTAAATTTCAGGGTCGGAATGGCCGGAATGCATCGTGGTTAGGGTTAGGGTTAGCTATACTGGGTTAGCAGAAGCTATAGTAAAATTATCAACTGAGCATTTTTTACTTAATGAACAACTATGATTTAATTAGTAAAATTTTTAATGATCTTGGGCAAAATTGATCATTTCCGGCATCTCCCTGTATGAGTTGATATCTATGCGTACCTAACGGACGACGAAATTTTTGTCATTGTACGAACGACAAAGCTTATGATAGTTGATGAAGTATAAGCAATTATTCTTTTTATTCGCAATGAAAAGAAGTTTTTTATATTTTTTTTATATCTATTATCACGTTTACCCATTTCTTTTACCTGCATAGGAAACTATCAGGTTCAGATTAAACCTAAAACTGTCATTTTATTAGCTTGCAATAATGCATAGGTTAGTGTACTAGTGTAGTTACTGTAATCCGGGCGGTCTGCGTCATGTGAAATCTCTTGTTACAGTTCAATCCATTAAAGCGTTTATCCGGATAATTATTTTAATACCTGTCAGGTTATCTGGATACCGATTCGAATTATCCGTAACTCAAAAGTAGAAAATTTGACAATGTCATCTTAACGTTAATTAATACTAAAACTAATTGAAAAAGTCAAGATCAACAGATATAAATGGTAAAAACCATTTTAATATCTTTACTAAAGACAGATTTGGAATCATTTATTAATCAAATATATTTTTACATTATTCATAGATAATCAATTCGGAAAAATGTATAAACGTTATTCGTACATGTATATATATGGCCCTTGTTTATTCTATTCTTCTTATTTTATTGAACTTTTATAACTTTACAAGACTTTGAAAGCTTGTTAAAAATGTCTACTAATTATATAAATAGTAATAATAGTAATGAAAATATACTACTTTATTTATTCACATTTCCTAACGAAAATTATACATGCCCAATAACTGATTATTCAGAATATATAATTCACGCAGGTTTTTTAAATCAAGCTGGTCATATTATTGGTTATGGTGGAATATTATTTACAGTCGCTGTATATGGCATTAAATCTCAATTTGGGTGGCGAAATACTTTTTTTCTTGATGATTTTTTTATTTTAACCTTTTCAATTACTCCAATTTTACCATTTTATATAATTGGACAATTTATATTAAAAAATAATCTACATTATTATAAAGATCATGCAGTTTTTTTTCTTCTTTTAATATGGTTGTTTCTTGTTTGGATAATCGCTGCTTTAGTTGTAAAATTTAATTATCAACGTTCATTTTTCAAAAATATTAATGAAAAACATCTCTTTAAAATACGTAGTTCTATTTTATATATTATTTTAATTTATGCTCTTGCTATAACTTCTTTTGATATTATTGACATTGAAGTGTTTTCTCACATTAATTGGTTAGAATTTCTTAACTTACAATTCTTAAATTTATTTTCTGATGTTGTTAATTTAGCTTTGGCAATTTACTTAATTTCGTATCATCATTTACTTAAACCTGGTGGTATTCCTCGTCGTACATTTTTTATCACCTTATTTGTATTACAAATGCAATTATTCTTTTCTTATGCTTACCTTTGTACTCTTCCTATTATAGATTCTTTTTTCAATTTTATTCTTGGTATAATATTATCAAGAACTATTTCTTCTTTCTCTAGTAAAGATGATTTTGAAGATTTTTTAATGGGTGTTGAAGATAAAAATTTTAATGTAATAGAATCAATTGAAGGCATTCGAATGCAACATGATGAAGATGAAGCTTTAAAAGATATTGAAACTATCACAATTAGTGAAAATGAAACGGATGATGAGGTTTCTCTTATCGTACCAACCAATGTCGATTTCTTTAAATTAATTATTGCTTTTTTCTTTTTTCTTAATGTTGAAAATGGAAAATTGGTATATAAACTTGACAAAGTTAATTATTTGGGTGTTCAACATTTAAATATAAAAGAAAGTATGGATATTTATGTTGAGCATGGCTTTTTAAAAATAGAAACTGGTCAAATAAAATATGTTGGGAAGAACAATCTTAAAAGGTGCATCAATTTAACTGATAATTGGCCATTAAAGATAGAATACGATAAAGTTTTTATAGAATCTCCTAATGAACAATCTTTTATTGACTTAACTGGTCATAAATTTTTTGAAATTAATCGTGGTAAAATAATGCATATGGAAAATAATAGAATCAAAGAGGTCATAGATATAGTTGATCATGGTTTGTTGAAAATTGTAAAATTTGATACTGGTTTTAAAGTTGTTTATATGAAAACTCCTAATGCCACTAGATTTATTGATTTAACTGAACATGGTTTATTGAATTATATAGTTTATGGTCATAGAAAGCGTGATATTTTTGATCTCAGTCTAGTATAAAATTTATTGTACATTATACAAATCCCTTTTTACAATAAACATTAATTTATATACTGTAATATTTTCAGTTGTCGAATTATTATTACTTTAGAAGATTGTAAATGTTATTAATGTTATATTTCAAAACTCCGATCAATTATTAATTGCCGTATATATTCAAAAAATATTTTTTTATATGTTAATAACAAAAAAGAAATTAATAAGTAGAAATTAATAAAAGTGTTTAAACATTTTAAGAAGTTTGAATTTGTAGTACGTACGTATAAATTTGATATTCACATTTTCGAATGATATATACATATATATATATATAAATTTTGCATATTTATATTATGTCGGGCCGAAGTATTGTCAAGATTGTCTTAGATTAGCTAATACTAAATTAAACAGCTAATACGGTTAAACGGTTAAATAATTAACAAAATTTTAGGCGATTTCAAATCCTATTTTAATAAAAAAATTTTAATCATGGTTTGAAAAATCTATTTTTAACGGATATATTAATTATTTCGGATATAATAAATTTACAAACCCCACAATGATCGGTATTGGAGGTTTTGGAAAGACTTTTAAGTACGAGTTCTTAAATGTCAGAGTTGATTCAAATAAATATGAAGAAATTATTAAAGAAATTATTAAAGAAATTATTCAAGATTTTATTAAAGATTTTATTAAAGATTTTATTAAAGAGTTATTAAAGATTTTATTAAAGAGTTATTATATTATATTGAAACTTTATTCACCGTCAATTCATCTAGTAAATATGATAATTTTAAATTATAATAACTAAGGCTATAATTAAATTTAGATTTGTATATATTAACAGCTCTGAGAGTGAATTCGCAATAGTGGAAAATTTTAATATAATTTATAGTTAGTGTCTTTTTTTTTATTACTTTTAAATTCCACTGGATTTTTTCAATCTAGTTATTGAACAAAATTCTTTTCTTATAATAAGTTTATTCTCATAGTCTTAATGCAAATACTCGATCTTCAATGATTTATTTAATCTACAAATGATTTCTTACATTCTCTCACATGATGATATATGTGCATTATTTGGTTTAATTCCAGTAATTTATTAAAATCATCAAGCGGCTCTTTATATCTTCTTATCATGGGATAGGATTCTCCACGATTATTTAGGGTTATGGCATCATTTGGTGCAAGTCTAGAGATTTATTTAAATCTGCAAATGATTTTTCATGCACATCTACTTTTGATATGTTGTCCCACGGTTTTTTTTTAGTATCATTTCAAATACAGTCGGGACTCACCAGGTAGTTGCACCCTAATGTGGTGATTGCATAGAGGTGTGATCAGTGTTGGAAATCTGGTTTGAGATTCTCATGAGAACATATTTATTTGATTTAGTGTTCTCAAAATTTTATTTATGTTCTCAGCACTTAATCGCTAAAATTATTGATCTCCCTAATTTCGGAAATTATCGGACATTTGTTCTAATTTTATCCCAACCCTTCTCGTATTTTATGTTCATTCATTTTATGTTCATTCATTTTCCTTTCGGGTAAATTTGGAATTTCTATTTCCATCTGGAAATTTGCTATTATACTTAGAGAACATGCTTTTTCAGCATCATGTTCTCGAATTTTTAATGTTCTCAAACCTAAAAGGATGTTCTCATGAGAACATGAGAACATAAGATTTCCACCACTGGGTGTGACTATAAATAAAATACCAAGTCATCATCACGTTACCACTAACTAAATCAATGTCTAAAATAATACATAGTTATAACATATTCACACATATTCGAATTGCTATTAAAAATTTTAAAAATATTTGACAGTGAATAACCTTTGATCCATTGGTCCGATTTTGATAAAACAATTACCAAGATATTTATTTATCTTGATAAGATTACTCCAAAGAGCTCAAAATTAATAAATATTTGTGTCACTTTATGTGTTTTAAGAATTGGTATAACTAATCCTTAAACGTCTAAATGGATACAGCAGTAAATGATTGGCTTAGCGAAACACAAAGCGTTAAATTCTAAGTTTTAATGATTATCAATTCATCTGGATGGTAAAATATCTGAAAGCAAAAAAATTAAAAATTAAAAAATAGCAAAGCTATGCCTTGTAATTTTATAAAAACTCTATTATTTTTATTAACAACTCGGCAATAATTGTATAAATAGCTATTAAGTCGTCTCTCAGCTCAGCTCTATAAGAGCAGAGTATGAGCATTGTCACGGGTTCCGTGACATGTGAGCGAGGCTTAATAATTATTGTTTTTTTTTATTTGTTATCTTTTATTTATATTATTGGTTTGTTTAAAATAAGGCACGGGGCGACTGAAAATTGTGAGCAATTGTGAGCAATTGCGAGCAACTGGTAGTGTTCGCATGGCTTTCTAACGAAGGTTGCTCACAATTCGCACGTAATCATAGAAGGTCGTGTTGGGGATTAAGGTGTATTAATACTGTCGCACAGTAATTATAAGATAGAAAAAATGTATTTAAAAGGTTCCCATTTTTCTGTAATAAAGATTTTCCCCAGACTTCGATGTCTTTAATAAAGTAGAAATAAGAATCGAATTCTCACTGATTTAAATACTGTTGCTGAATGTTATTATAAACGTTTTTACTATATTTTTTTATTTTATTTTATCTTTGCTTGAATACACTATTGATATCCTAGAATTAACCCTAATCGTCATCTAATTATTACCCAGTATCTTAGTATCTATCATTGTTATCTATATATGATCTTATCTTAAACATATCCGCCGTTTCCCTTATTTTAGACCTATCCCAATCGTAAATAGGACCTAACGCCATCCTTAAATTACCCTTTTTGATAACCTTAAATTACGTGCATAATCCAAATCGGACTAATTTAGTAAGAACCCGACTCAGATCTACGTATGTACGTAAATCGAGACCCTAATTCACGTGCCCAAAGTCTTGACGAACATATAAACCCTTTAAGCTTACTATTGGAGTTAAACTGTGCTGTATGTTACCATCACTCTCCAAACAATAGTAACAGCATACAGAAAATCATCTTTTTTAGTAATTTTTTGCTGTAAAAAGATTATGGCAACGAATAAACCGGATAAATGTGAATGAGCATTTTTATTGTGTTAAAAATTTTGTACTACTATTCACAGAAGTACGAAATATTCCCAAATTGGAATAAATGGAGTCAACTTATAATAAAATTAATAAAATTGATTGCCCCGGTTATCATCATTTACCCTTCCACAATATTAATATTCCACACCCTCACGGTAAACTAACATTGTATCCTTAAAAAAAAAACTTTGTTCATCTCTCTAAAACATGCTTCTTTCTACTTAATAATTTCTATTTGCAACAAACAAAATGGCTTTGAAAAGAATTAAGAAAGTAAGTTATTTCTTCAGAAAGGTGTAGGAATATACCCGTTTAACATGATTGGATTTTTTTTTTTTGGACCTTTGGTCGTTTTATTCTCTTTGGGTTATTTTATAAATCTCAAAAAATGACATTTATTCTAAGTCAAGCTTTGAGCAAAGGCGTTGCAGTCTAGATCAAGGGCTTGGTAGTTTTTACTATGTTATCGACTTCGTTTTAAACTTGATTGCAAAATGATACAAAGTTCTTTTAATAATAAAACAGCCCATGTAATTTAGAGTTAACACCGGGTATATTGTTTAATGTTAAGCTTTCTTACATTGAAATTTTTCTTTTGAATTTATTTTCTAGGAATTGCATGACTTAGGGCGAGACGCACCTTCGGGTGTATGGGGTCGTCCTATTGGAGAAGATCTCTTTCATTGGGATGCAGGAATTTCTGGTCCCGTAAGTGATATTTGATGCCCACAAGTATTCATTGGATTATTTAAAATGATTAGAATTGATTTTTTTTTCATACGAACTAGGCTGAAACTCCATACGATGGTGGTGTGTTTTTTCTTGCCATTGCATTTCCTGAAGATTATCCATTTAAACCACCAAGGGTATTGTCTCTTTCTAATAATATGATGATTGGTATTTGTCTAACATAAATAAAACACATATATGTGCATTGTAAGGTTAATTTTAGGACAAGAATTTATCATCCGAATATAAGTAATAGTAATGGATCCATATCCCTAGATGTTCTAGGATTCGATTGGGGACCTCATATTACCATTTCGAACCGTAAATATATTCATTATGTAAAATATATTGTAACTATTTCTTCCATATATAAATTCTAATATACGTTAATAATTATCCTTTTCAGTGCTCATGACTATTCAAGCGTTTTTGACTTCTCCTGACCTAGGTATGCATCAAAGTTATTTTATTAAACATGTCGTACGCATACTAAAGTAATTTTTAATTACTATAGAAAATCCACTCGCAAGCGAAGTTGCTCATGTTTACAGGACCTACCGCGGTCTTTATGAAGCGACAGCACGAGAATGGACGCGCAAATACGCTAGTAAGTATATTATTAAGACGTTAAAATAGTTTTTGTATATGTTTGCTTGCATCTTGCTATTTTACTTCTTGCTGTTTGCTTTTTATAAATTGAATTTCATTTAAACCATATTAGTGTAATACAGCATAAGGCCAAAGGTTGGCAACGCAGAACTTTGGTTGCTAAATTTAACGAGTTCTATAGATATCTTGTTATAATATGGTAGCCACTTAACTTCGTCATATTTTGTGAGACCATTTTATTCATACATCTATTTTCCTTTTATCTATAAATGAGTTCCACAAAATACGACGAACATAAAGTGCAATCTATAATTTATTCAATCATAAAGATCGGTGATCCAACTAAATCGAAAGAGCGATATTAGTAAATTAATATGAACTTAAATAGCTTAATAAATATTTTAATGGCAAATATTTATGAATATTGAATGGTTTATTTAAGTGCTTAAATAAATGGATTTCTTTGTACTCACGGACTACGGTAAATAAAAGTAAAAAGTATTTTTATTGATTTATGATATAAATTTGTTTAATATATTTGGATTATACATATCATCAGTTTTATAATAAAATTTAATTTTAGAAATCATCTATTTGCTACCGGAGGTAACAGTAGCCGAATTTTATTTAGGGTTATATTTAGGGTTAGAAAGGTCATATTTTTTAGTTTCATAGGCATGAATTTGAGTTATTCCCGATTTGAGTTTTTGAATCGTGTAATCTGATTGGCTTAACGGTTACCGCCGGCGATAAATAGATTCGCCATTACAGCTGTTCTCATAAATTTTGGGACATCTGGTAAAAAATTGACCGAATGATTTTAGGCCGATTCGATAAGTT